ACTCACAAGCAAGCTCACCATCAGACAGCACCAGACAGTGAGCTCCAGTAGTGAGAATGCAGGGGTTTGCTGACCCTTTCATTGTAAGGCGCAGACGACCCAAAGAGGGGGAGCAGGAGAAGTACACAGTAAAAGGTAAAGGAAGAACATGGAAAGAGTGGGGGTGCCTGGGAAAGGGCATCACGGAACTCACAGGGCGCTTCGCTGACAGCCTCCCGCTCACGGTGCTTGTCTGGTTCCATGTGCAGAAGACTGACGTCTGAGGGGGGAAATCCCACACATGTCAGTCATAGCAAGACACTGTAAGCCAGATAGGCCTCCATTAACTACCAGTGAACAGTGAGCAGACCACAGTCACTAACCATAAGCCAATGACACGTCTGAAAGGGTGCCTCAGTCTGTAAACATAATGACTGACTGCACCCCTGACATTCATAGTACCCCCCCCCCCCCCGACATTGGAGTTCAGATACACGCCTAGCCATCATAATCTGAGGAAACAAAAGGAGCCAATCTCCCTGACCACATCAGGCCTAGATCATAAATCAGATCTTCAATTTGTCGACCCCAATAAAGATGTTCTCCGTGCTTATTAACGACACGTTCAGAATCAGAAACGTGTTCAAGAGGATTTCAGAAAAAAGAGCACATCTATCAGGTACCAAGCGCATCCCTGCCACCTAGTGTTTGGTTTAAGGAAGAATCCGTAAAAATAAAAAGCTGTGCTAGGACTAGATTAATGCGGGCGTGTCCCGACCACGGCAGCAACATGTGAAACTGATGCTGCGTTCCATTTACCTCGGAGGTCGGAACTCAGAATTGGGAATGATGTCACTCACCAGTTAAACGCGTTCCAGTACAAGTCGGAAAGCCATTTAGCAATACCAGGGGCCTGTTTCAAAAAGCAAGATTTCTTGCTTATCTGGATTTGTCTAATTTAATTTACCTCAGTTTAAATTACCTTTATCTTTGTTCATGTACATTTAACCCAGATCACCTTATATCCAACATATTATTTGAAATCCTGCTTTTGAAAACTGTCCCCTGTACTAGCCTGGATAATTGTTAGCCATTGTTAGGAATATCAGTTTATAACAACATATTGCGGGGTATGTGCATAAAATACTGTAGCAACACGTCCACAGACAGCAGTTGGACAATACTGTGTGTACGACCGATTCAAAGAGCCACAAATAAGATATAAGTGCTAATAAACAATATAAAACTACAACTTCTTTTGATTAAGGGCGCAGCCATCTTGAATTCTGAGCTCGCGGGTGTCGATTCCTCCAAGTTCATAAGTCGGAATTTCCGACTAGAAACTCAGAATTTCCGAGTCCAAATGCAATGCAGCATGAAACCTGGTAACATCAGGGGCAGGGAGACATTTACGACCTGAGTCAAAAGGCCCTCACAAGTGGCAAAACAAATTCCTGGTTGGTTCTTATCAGTCATCCCCACTGTATAGTGAGTCTATATGCAGCGACTAAAANGAGTCAAAAGGCCCTCACAAGTGGCAAAACAAATTCCTGGTTGGTTCTTATCAGTCATCCCCACTGTATAGTGAGTCTATATGCAGCGACTAAAAAGGCACCAGCTCAGTCTAAGAGCACAGCCACTACATAAGAGCATGAAGACAGCATTCGGCCCTTTTCGCTGTTTCATGCAGACGTGCCAGGACTCTTTAGTGACCCACTCCAGCCGCGGTTAGCCTGCTACCCTCCAGGCAGTGAGCTTACCTTGTTCATGCAGGACAGAATCCCGTCGACAAAGGTGGACTTCACCTTGTGCACCTGAGAGCAGAAACAGTGCTGATGGGCTTCCTGTTACTGACCACAGCCACCCCCATCCTCAAAGAGTGTGACAGAGATGTGTCCAAACAGCCATTTTAATACCCCACCTTGTCCAAATGACCCTAAATATTTTATGCAAAGTAACTATGGTGGTGCTGATGAGATTTAACTGGAACGATGTGAATCGGTATGAATCAGACAGGAAGAGGACAGGAAGTCACTGCATTGTGCTGTTTTAAATGGGCAAACACAAGCCTGTGTTCCTGTTAGAGGGGGAGGCAAGTCCCCCCCAGAGGTTCACTGCAGTAGGTTCACTGCAGTAGGTTCACTACAGTAGGTGCCACAGCCCACACGGCTGAGGGGCCACACACAGGAGCTCACCTGCCTGTATTCCAGAATGATCTTGGGCAGAGGATGCAGGTCTTGCAGCTGCAGTAGCTACAGGAAAAGGAGTGCCATGAATGAGAGAATGACTGAGTGGGTAGGAGGGAATCCGGATTCCCTTCAGGACCACGGACAGCCCCAGATTCAGAGATTATCGTGCTACACCACGCACATGCCAGGCTGTTGGTGAATGGATGGATGAAGGAATATTACATTCATACAGCACTTTTCAAGACACCCAAAGTGCTTTACAGAAGCAATGGGAGCCACTTCAACCACCACCGCTGTGTGGCCCCCACCTGGATGATCCAACGGCAGCCATTCTGCACCAGTACAGTAGCTAAGGTGATGAAAGGGCAGGATGAGACTTACTGCTCCGCAGACAGACACATAGATACATACACACAGACAGACAGACACATAGATACACACACACAGACACATAGACAGATACACACACACAGACAGACAGACACATAGATACACACAGACAGACAGACAGACGCATAGACAGATACACACACACAGACAGACAGACGCATAGACAGATACATACACACAGACAGACAGACACATAGACAGATACACACACACAGACAGACACATAGATACACACAGACAGAGACAGACACATAGATACACACAGACAGACAGACAGACACATAGACAGATACATACACACAGACAGACAGACGCATAGACAGATACATACACACAGACAGACAGACGCATAGACAGATACATACACACAGACAGACAGACGCATAGACAGATACATACACACAGTGCCTATGCACTGTGGCAGGGAGCCTGCAGGTGGGAGACAGGGCACGTGCTGGGGGGGGCGGGGCATAGGCACTGAAAGAGCTGGATATCATGTCTGTCAATGGCGCTCGAGAATGAGCCGGCAGGCAGACAGCGACAGCAGCAAGACGAATGCAGAGGCCTGCCTTTATAAAGGAGGCCGAGACTGAATAACTGCCTCCAAAGGGCCGTTAGAGAGGGGCTGCTACAGACATGCCTGACCGGGGGGGTCAGGACTTCCAGGGTGTTTATGTGGATCCCTCTGTTTTGTGACTTTGGGGGGCTCACCACGGACTCCGACGTGGACTGCTGCTGCGTGAGGACCGTCCTGGGCAGCTTCCTGCCCTCGCAGCGCTCCTGCAGCTGCAGCTTCTCAAACAGAACCTGCGTGGCAGACGGACGGCAACCATAGTCAGCCGGCTCGCAGCCTCAGTCAGCCGGCTCGCAGCCTCAGTCAACCGGCTCGCAGTCACAGTCTGTCGGCTCGCAGCCTCAGTCAGCCGGCTCGCAGTCACAGTCTGCCGGCTCGCAGCCTCAGTCAGCCGGCTCGCAGCCACAGTCAGCCGGTTCGCAGTCACAGTCTGTCGGCTCGCAGTCACAGTCTGTCGGCTCGCAGTCACAGTCTGTCGGCTCGCAGCCTCAGTCAGCCGGCTCGCAGTCACAGTCTGTCTGCTCGCAGCCACAGTCAGCCGGCTCGCAGCCACAGTCAGCCGGCTCGCAGTCACAGTCTGTCGGCTCACAGCCACAGTCTGTCGGCTCGCAGTCACAGTCTGCCGGCTCGCAGCCTCAGTCAGCCGGCTCGCAGTCACAGTCTGTCGGCTCACAGCTTCAGTCAGCCGGCTAGCAGTCACAATCTGTCGGCTCACAGCTTCAGTCAGCCGGCTCGCAGTCACAGTCTGCCGGCTCGCAGCCTCAGTCATCCTGCTTTGGAGAGAGGCTCCAACCTGGCGAAGCTGCACACTGCTGGACACCAGAAAGTGCTGCCCCGCGGCCTGGTGGGCTTCCTGCTCCAGCTGTTTCAGTCTCTCCTGGAGACACGACACAAAGAAATGAGCAGGTGAGAGGGTTAGGGGAGGAGGAGTGGCCCTGAGAGTGAGACACACACATGAATGAGCAGGCATGAGGGTTAGGGGAGGAGGCTTGGCTGTGAGAGTGAGACACACACATGAATGAGCAGGCAGGAGGGTTCGGGGAGGAGGAGTGGCCGTGGGAGTGAGACACACGCACACCACCAGACTTAAGCAAGTGATAAGCAATGACTTGTTATGTGTAATATATTTAATTCATGTGTCAAATTCCATGTTTGAAAGATCGAAGCACAAACATGTATTCAGCCCCAAAACGATGAGTCAGTTATTGCCTGCTATGTTCACCACTTTATTCATGCTGCAATCATTCATGCAGGCATGCAGGGTCGGCTGCCACAAGCCTTATGGCCAAGGCAGGCAGCTGAAGGCCACAATAACACAGCAAGCTCATCGTGTTCTTTTAGGCCTCCCTGAGATCACGACCAGGGGAGGCATCTGTCCTTTAGGAAAAAGGGCAGGTGAGTCGACTGTCACTGCGTCCTCCAGAGCAGGATTTTATCTTTTGTTGGAGGGGAACATTTGATTCTGTGGGCAGGACATATATGGCAAAAAGCAGGAGTTAAACTCCATCTAGGTGCAAGCTTGACTAGATGTGACATACAACCAATCTAAAGGTACCAAAACCAGACACCATCTATATCCCCATCTGCAGGCACACACACAGAGGTGCACAGGTTAGGGCGTCACACACACAGAGGTGCACAGGTTAGGGTGAACGCAAACCTAACAAGCTTCACCCCACCCAAGGTGAGGCTGGGGTCTGTCTATCACAGCTACAGTCCACTGGCGTGACGTGACAGGCTTAAAGACCCCGAATCCATGAAGTACAGCTGAATGGAAGCTTCTTATTTTGTGAATTATCAAAGTGCATTTCAGGAGATGTTAAGCAGCACCATGGTATGTGTCATTATGAAAGCCAGCAAAGCCTGACTTTGTAAGCACCTAGAGCCCTAATGGAAGATACAGCTGAGGATCAGGATGAAGGCCAGCCAGGTTGTGTTGTCTGCTGAAAATATCCTGAGCGTCCGGAGCCAAAAATGCCAGTATGTTGCATTTTGCCCCCCAGTAGAGTGCCTAGACTGGCTCTGCTGGGAATGCAGATGTACGCTGGGTGTCTGTCAGTGTGCTTGGGTATCTGTGGTGCCACACACACACACACACACACGCACGTGAGCCTCTGCTGTGCCATCCCACACTAAAGACCCAAGAGGAGGCAGCCTGGTACAGGAGACATGACTGTGGGATTATCCGTCTTCAAAAGGTCCTGCAGCGGAGGCAGAAATAACTCAAGGCTGCACTGTGACACGCCAGCTATGCACTAAATAGAGCAGCGCGCTCCTCATCCCAGCAGTCAGCCAACCAGCCTGGAGCTTACCGGGGCTGGAGATGCACAGTCCCAAAAGAAAGCAAGACAGAAACAGCTTTTCTATTCTTCCGCTGGGCCGCCTTTGATCACACAGCTAAGCTGACCTTCAGATGCTCTCTAAGAAGACCGGCAGGCACGCAAGATGGGAGCCACGCCGCTTACGGGGGGGGGGGGAATCCTGTCAAACACAGGGAAGCGGCTAATCCAGTGAGGGGGCTGACAACACTCCAGGTGTCGGAAAGCTGCAGGAGGAAGCGGCTGAGCTGTGAGGGCTGTTTCCGTTCATGGACACGGATCCCCAGCACATACAGCAGGATACACAGATTCAGTACACGCCACACTGTCGGCACACAGCACCAAAGAGACAGAAACCCACCTACTCACATTAATAACAGGCCATAAATACGTTTGCACTCCTAATAGGTTGAAACAATAGAGATAAGTAACCTCCTTGTGAAATATGCTCCTAATCTCTATTTTCTAGTAACCTTCGCAGTGTTCGCAGTGCAACAGAAGGAACTGTATGCAGGCCTCCTAAACAGGCAATGTCATGGACGGCTATTACCCCCAGCAGCTCAGAGGTCCTCTTCAAAGCATCCTTGTCCACGTGGATCCTGTGGCTTTCCATTGCTGCGCAGAACACAACCTGCTTCAGACTCTACACATCAACAGGTGCTCGAGCTTGCTGTGATTCCAGATCTCCACTGGCCAGCACTGCTGTCTGCCTGTGTCCCCACACTCAGCCACCCCCCCTATGATACTGGGTCTACGCAGTGCCTTCATGCCCGATTAGCCGAGTCCAGCTGGGTTGCAGGGATGGACAGGTACCGGCCCACCACCTGTACCAAACACCCTGGGCCCGACTCCAGCCGTGAGGTGATCTGTGGTCTTACAGCACTCATCATAGAGCCCATCTGCATTTTCTTTTACACCGACTGGCATGTGTTTGATGCATATTAGTGGCTGTTTGGCTCTATTAAGAGACATAACAGAACAACCCTCCCCCTCCTCTCACCTGCCAACACTGGGACCATACTGAGCTCCAGGTTGGAGAAGAGTTCTCCCAGCCCACGGGTCTGCAGAGTGGGAACAGGAAGGGGGAGGCTTAGCTTACATGTAAAGGCAGTGCCATGCTACAGTGTGGGGCTCGGCATCATGGGAGGGAAGTGGCAGCGGTGTTTGGCGGGGCGGCTCACCTGTAAGCTGGAGCGCAGGTGCATCATCAGGCTGTATAACAGGGACAGGCTGGCGATCACGCTGCACAGCTGAGAGAGGGACAGTGACATGACGACAGCCGGGGTAAGCGGCCTGTACGCTCACTACCGGCGGGACTGAGACAGAACTGGGCCCACCTTTCCCGGCAGGAGCCGGAGCCCCAGGGCGGCGCCGTGTTTGGTCATCAGGGCCGGGAAGCTGGAAGCGGAGTCGCCGGGGTCGAGCAGCCAGGCCGCAATCTGAGGGTCCAGCAGGCAGCAGCGGGAAACTTGGGCACAGAAGGGGACAGTCAATGCGCTCGGGCTCCCTGTCCACGCATGGCGGATTTAACACTATGCCGCCAATGCAGCAGGGCAGTTACCGCACAGGACAACAGGCTAACATGTTAGCTTCAACAGGCTTTATGGTACTGAGTAAAACGGCCTCTCCATGCTAGGCCCCTCTGTAACCTACGCCAACCCCCCCAGCCTGCCTTGCTTCCAGCTCAGACGCCCCCCGCAGTGCTGTAGGGCGGCACGGAGCAGCTCCTTCGCTTTGTAGCACACGGCCTGCTGGGTCCCGGTCACCACCTGCAGGACCAGGTCCCTGAGGGCCACACAGCGGAGCCACAATCACTGCTTACTGCTATTACTGCTCTTTCAAATGAAATGGCATAATTACCCTCCTCCCTCAATCATCAAGGGTTCCCTCTTCTGGACCTGCGAAAGAGATCCATATTCTGGTCTGTCTGCTGCTGATCCAGCCTCAGGTAGATGAGGCCATCTCCTGCACCAGGGCCCTGGTCAGATAGTGCCACAGCCGGCTCCCTCTTTAACAGAACCAGGATCCCAGAGACAGAGGGGCAGGACTTCTGCAGGGGAGACAGAGCAGGCTTCAGGTTAACTATCGTAATATCTGTGCTTTCTACATCTATTAAATGACCGAAGGGCCAAACCGCCTGCTTTCATCATCACTCACACTGTGATTCTGCGCAATTCTGCCAGGAAGAGAAAGCTGAGGTACTCTGCTTACCGGCTCCGGGTCCAGTTGGGTGGTGCCGTCCTGGTACACCAGAGTGAGGGCCAGTGCTGGCACTTGGCTGACCTCCTGCAGGAGCTGGGCACGCTCCTTCTCACTCAGCCGGCAGACATGGCGCACCCTGGAGTCGGAGGTCAGGAAGAGCGGTGGTCTGAGAGGCGTCTCTCTGCTGGGAGCTCCTCCTGCGGAGCCGTGGGCCGCCTGGCTGTCCTCAGGCTGCACATCGAGGCCTGGTCTGGGGGAACCTCCATTTCTCAGTCCCTTGGCAGCTGCTGCAAGGTGTGGCGCCCCCTGTGGGTTGTGCGCTGCTCCTTCTGTCCCGAGGACAGCCCGACCTTCTCTCCTCACTCCAAGGACTCCACAGCCCAGAGAAGCATCTAGTGACGCCTGTCTATCTGGCCGGTGAGCTGCCTGAGATGGTGGGGGTGCCCACCTGACGCATTTCTTAGGGATTGAAGGGACACACTTCCTCTTCAGAAAGCCACGGTGAATTCCGGCATTCCGGCTGTTACGCTGAGGTGAGCCACGGACCGCCGAAGACAGGAAGGTGGTCTGGGTTCCGAGGGGGGGGTTGTATCCCGCTCCACAGGCAGCCAGACTCTCATCTATTTTGCATGCCTGTCCTTCGCTGCTGCCTCCACCGACCTGCGCAGTAGAGACAGATGAGGAGCAGGATAATTTTGTCAGGGTGACTGCTAGAAAGAATGGCTTCTATGGCCTGTCAGTGATGCTACGCGAGTTTCCAAATTCAGAACGTATAAATTTCCCTAAGGTCCAGTTTGAGGAAAGTGACAGGGTACTGGGTGGAGAAAAGGCATCAGACTCAACCATTAGCACCAGATTAAACCACATTCTGACATGATTAAGTAATCCCTCCAATTACATTCAGATGTTAAATACTACTTCACAAACTAAGATAATTGTAGCATTTTCATATAAATTTATGTTAATAGAAAATGCAATAGCAAGCATGGCAACTGCATAAGATGTGTTCAATATAAGCAGAAATATATGACAGCCTCTTGATTTTGTCCTCCAAAACTGAGAATGGGCATTACTTTAGTTACTCTTCACTGTTGACTGACTGCCTCGGCCAAGCCACTAGACCTTTACGGATCAAAGGATCAGAGGAAGCCTTCAGCAAGGTGAAGGAGGAGACATTCATATAAGCGCTCAGCGCGCAGGGTAAGGAGCGTCCTGTGTCTCAGCCTCACTCTGGCCAGAACCAACAAGGAGGTTATCTAAGGTATCTGTCCCCAAGGTTATTTCGGTGAGTTTACTTCTGCTACTTTATTTAGCTCAAAAGGAATCTCAGAAGAAAACAGAATAATGATGTGCCTGCAGCCTACAGTAGTAAACCCTACACTTCCTTATCTGTAGACACCCGGACATTCAAACTCAAAGGACTCCAGCGTGGAAGGAGCACTGTGTGCACTTACAGATCCCTGAGTGCTTATCAGTCATCCAGACCAAGGGACACATCAACTGACTATGATCACATCACCCTCCATACAAACACAACCATATACAGAAATGATGTGCAACATAACATGTAATCCAAAAAAGGATTCTTATGAGACATCAGGAATTTATACTTATTAATGATTTTCTAAAATAAAGATACCTAATTGTCGTGTTTTCTGATTTGGCTTGATATGCTTCTTACAAAGATTGTTCAATTACCAAGCTAAAGAGTGATAAGAAAAGGTTTTTAAAAACGCGTCTGGCAGAGAGATGCAGAGGCAAGCCTGAAGTAGGGCAGAGGATGGGGGTTTATAAACAACAGCAGAAACACTCGTGTTCTGTCATAGTTCTCCTCCTAATCATAAGATCACAGATTACCAGCAGGGCCTTCAAGAATCAACCGCTTATTCAAATCCTCTGACAAATTTGTCTGCAACAAATACAGCTGATTAATAACCTTAATTAAGAATATTTTAACAGTTCAATACCAATAAAATAAGATGCAGCTAAAAGATAGAGAGCCAGCAAGCAATGAATCCGCCCGCGACGTTTCTAGATTCCGAGGGCACACACACACGTGCCATCCTTACCACTGGCACTAAGGAATTCACTTTCATTACACCATTTTCAGATCCTAAAAAGAGGAAACTCATTTTGGCTTACTCTGTGACACAGCACAGATTTCTAAAGATGTAACATCAAACTTCTAGACAGTCTAATGAACGTAGCCTCTGTCTTCCAATGGCAGAGAGTAAAAATAAGAGAGATAAAAACAGACACATCTATTTTTAACTCTAGCCTTTAGAAGCACATGATGAGCCAAAGGAGGTGACTTCCTTCTGAATGTGCCTCTGTCCCAATAGGTCCTTTGACTGAGTAACTAATTCGGCCTTTTTGCTTGATGGAAGTATCTGCAAAGACTCTTTATAAGACACTCCAGTCATTTAAATTAGATATTCCAACTCCAAATAAAACATGGGATAGTCAAACATCACTTATGTTTCAGTACAGTGTTACAATCTGTTCCTGCAGTGCCCTGTACAATGCAGAGCCTCACAGAAATGAGGCACAAACCTTTGGAAAATGGGGGCTGCTACAGTTGGGGCATACTGGCCCAAACACAGACAGACAGCCATCCTCCCCAATCAGAACCCTGACTAATGTGTGTTAGCCGAGTAGTGATGGGCAAATGAAGCTTCATGAACCATTTGCTGTATTTTTTCACCCCACTAGATGGTGCTCTTTGCTTTGATGCATGCTTTGAGCCCTTTATGAACAGAGAGCACCATCTAGTTGGGTCAGAAAATACAGCAAATGGTTCATGAAGCTTCATTTGCCCATCACTAGTGCCGAGCACAACAGTGATCTCCAGACTTGGGATAGGTCACCAATGGCACGTGACTGTTTATGGGGCATGTTCCATGTTGACATCAGGCCATCAGGGTATTCAGGCAGACAGACCCTTTGCTTTGTTTCTAATCACTTCTTCTCGGTAGGAGCGACACTTGCGTAGATATTGTGTGATGTCATGCACTGCGATTCGCCATAGGCCTCACACTGACAGCGGCCCCAGCTGGAGCTGCATGTCCAGTTCAGTTACCCCGCTGCAGTCGGTGAGTTTCCCATGTGGAGCAGATGGGTGTCCCTGGGAGTGTGTGGGAAGGAGGCATGTGGGGATCCGCACCGCTCTGTTCTCAGCTGCATCTGAGATCTGCCCATATAGGAAATGATGAGTCTACTTCTGTGATGAAATAAGCTCTCTGAGGTCATCAGTAACAAAGCCGAATCCCCCACAGACAGAAAAGCTTCCACTCTGCAGCCCACGTTCACGTAACACCCGGGCAATCGCAGCATCGCGCCTTTCTGCGGGTTCTGACTCTACGGGGGATCTTGATCTGTACGCCGCTTCCTATCGGGCGTGAAGCTGTCAGTCACGGGGCCGTCTGGAGGACAATCAGCCTGTTCTAGGAATCTTGGCTGGGACACCGTAACTAGAACAGCGGACCTCTTCACATTTGCAGATAGTTCTTCAGAAGACAACTGGCTCATTTACATGTTATGATTATTAAAGCAGCAGCCGTTCCAGTTCTGCATTTTCCCAGCCCTGAATGCAGTGTTGGACCCAAAACACGACACACTGCTGATACCACTCCAGATGGGAGATACGCTAACCAGCGACTGGGCCACTATAAAAGGCTTTGGTTCAGCTTAACACGAGACCTTTAACCCCATCTGCTTGAGCTGTGCTTCTCTCCACATGCTTCCTCACTGTAATGAGATTAAAACTCTGCTTTGCCTGATAACCAAAAACATGCACATGGGTGCAATTTTGACACCAAGAGGGCCACCTGGGGCAACAGCTTTTAGGGCCACTATGGACTGGGGACATTAGGCCAAGCCAGCGACTGTTCAGAGGTTAAATGCTGTTATTAACCACTGCTGCTCAAGAAGCCTATACTGAGATTTTCAGTATCGTCAAATATTGGTTCAGGGTTAAGTAACCCTGTGATTCTAGTTAATACCTCAGCTCTGAGCTGGGGGCTGCAGGGCTGCTTAGAAAGGTCCAGATCCAGCTGACACACTGCAGGGGACACTAGGGAGACAGCAGAGAGGCAGAAGTCAGTGTAGACAGCCAGAGAACATTTACAGAGCTATCAATTCAACGGAACAAACAGTCCGTACCGGAGCATCCCAGACAGCGCCGATGGCCTCGCCACCCTGCCGCAGAGCCCCCCCCCCCACCCCCCGGGGTGATGATGAGAGCTGAGGCAGGCTGACACCCCTGCCCCCAAACACTTGGCCGGACGGCCGGGTCGCTGGATCAGCAGCTGGCTAGCTGCCTGCGGGGCCCTGAGAGACCCAAACACTGGGAGCTCTACCCCTCTCAGGCTGTCAGCCTTATATAAGAGTCAGCGCTGAGGGGGTCACCTCCACAACGGTCCTGAAGAGACCTTAGCAGCCACATAGCATTGAACCTAACCAACATTTTCTAATATCTAAGATAGTACTTAGATATTTTTGAATTTGAATTTTTTCTCTCTCCTTAAATTAGAAACCATGAAGACCCCTAATAACTCAATAAATAACTGTGAAATCTTAAGGAATATTAAGTGCAAAATAGCAAGACTCTAAAAAAAGCTGAAGTGTACAGCCATAATATATCCTAATACCGTACTTAAGTTTGACCTCAAAGCCCTATTTGAACATAACATTTCCCCAAATGGGTGTTCTTTCATATTTCCCAAGTTAAATGTGAATCTCTGTTAATGTATTTATACACATCTAGCCACCACAGGACAGCTATGGGGCTAAATCAAACAAGACCCCCACTGAATTTATGCCGCCTGAAATTTATCTTTCACACTATCGCCACCTTGTGGCTAATTTGAGAGAAGCAGCCAAACAGACATGTAGAAGTTTCTGTGGAGGCTATGCATTCCTCCTGGAAAACCCCCACTCGCTTGGCCCTCAACGTAACACCTTGCATTTCGGAAGGAGGTAGACAGGGGGTGCTGGAATGGTACCGAGACACGGGCCACTCCTGTATTTACTGCCATTCCCCTCCTGCCCAACAGTGAGTACACTTCCATCTGACTGGCACCAGAGAACAGGGACATGCGCAGCCACCTTTAATGTCACAGGCCGAGCAGATCATACACCCAACACGGCTCTCTCTGAGCCGCTGGGCTGTTACCAGGCAGGACAGTATGCGAGGGAGAAGTAGGAACCTGACTGGCTGACGGCTCGTCCCGTGAGCGCATCCGATTGGCTGATGGCTTCCTTCCAACGATATGATGCTGCTGCTCCTTCCTCAGAAGCCGGTGCATCGGCCAAGGCTGAAAGCAGGTAAGCGCCAGAGAAACAGGCACAGGACCGGGATCAGATTACGATGCATTCTTAGGAGCAAATCGGCCACACAATACGGCAGCGCGTCCCCTGGGCCTGTAAGACGGTGCCATTTTTGTGAAAGATCACATCAAGCTGTCCTGACCAGAGATGTACAGCTACCCAAATTGGCCTCATCCCCTTAAGTCCCGGTAATGATGTGAAGGGGTTGGCCAAACTCCCAGCATGCCATTCAGCTTACCTACCCTTCTCTTGTCTTCCTCCCGCACCGCCGGAGCCCCCTGCACTACATCCTTCTTACTGAACCTATTCCGGTCACAGGGTCCTGACATACACTCTGAATCAGCCATCGGTCCCCTTCCATCATGGGCCCAGACCCGCATCACACTGTCAACATCCTCTCCTCCATCCCAGGCTGTGTCGACCCCCAGGTTCTTGGTGCCAGTCCACTCTGCATGGTGGTCCAGGGCCCACTGAGAAGGCAGCACAGGTTTCCCCATGGCTGTACTCCATCCGCTGGGGACCGCACACGTCAGGGACCACGCCTTTCCTCCCGACGGTCCCTGAGCCCAGTGCTTCCCCCATTCGGTCTCCAATCTGGGCACCTCACTTCTTGAAACACCCTGTTCCGTTGGCTGAGAACACTGGGTGGTAAGTCTGGGCCGTCCCTGTCCACCCCTGAAGTGACACATTTCTTCTGTCTACAGATCTCTACTCAAATTGCGCAGCTAAATTGTGGCTTGGTACATGATGTGCTGTTATGCACCCTAAAGCCTCACACTCACCAGGTCTCACTGGGCTCTAGCTGGCAGGGTCCAGAGGGGGGCAGCAGAGAGCTCCTTGTCAGGGCAGTTGGGCCTGACATCATCTCACAGCCCCTGTATATGTTGGGATGTGAACCACAAGCTGAAGAGCACTGCTCCACCACAACCGCACAGGCTCCTATATGTACAGTGCAGGCGAATAACAGGAACTGCTGACCAACGAGGAACCAGCCTCAGCGGCTCGGCCACTGAGCGTGAGGCCGCACTCCGCAATACCGCCCCCCGCTGTTCACTTTCACCTGCTCACTGCTGGCCACTTACCTAAGCTCCTGCACCCTGCCCTGCCTTCCTTCCTCCCCAACTTCATTCCAAGTCTCCTGCCTCATTCTTGCTGCCAATAATGACAATAAACCATCTAACTGCTCAATGCTAGTCTTCACTGCCATTACAGAATCCATGAAAAGCACGACATTATTCAAACTAGCAGAATAATTACTGTCATATTATTCTAATGTAGCAACAACCAAGGATGATGCCTCTAGTTAGCTTAGCATAGCAAAGATGCGGCCATGGGCTGAATGTAATAAAGTGTCCTGGTGGGATATAATGGTAAAATCCCAGCATGGTCACTAAGCCTGACTGATAGCATGACAGCCATGGGCAGCCACAGAGGACAGAGACAGGGACACTCACACGGCTGCCTCCCGGCTGCTCCAGCTCTGTACTGAGCCCGCAGGGCAGACAGGATCCTCTGCGCAGGCGCAGACAGAGGCCCACTGCATGGCCTGTAGGACTCCATCAGTACCGCTCCTGATCTGCAAGAGGGCCGGGCAGGTATGCAGTCACCCCTGAGTCTGTCTGGCCAGTGAGAGATGAAGATACACGTGGTATCTTTACATTTACTCCCGATACCAGAGTCACGTGCTGACAGCTACCCTCCTTTCCATCCAGTCACTGTATGACAGCTAACACAAGTGTACAACCAGGTATCGCTTCTCCTCCTCTCATTAAAACTATGCTAAAAACATTACATGTATTACAATGCAATGAAAATAAAAAAATATGAATAATTATAGTTTAAGAAAAACTAAATGTTAAAATACACACATGCACAGCCATGGGGAACAGGAGGGGAGACTGAAGGACTTTTTACTAACCTTACAATAGACCATGACTGTGCAATTGACCCGTTCAATAATTATTACCATCATCCTACCACTATTTATTACTCTATTACTTATTACTTTATTATTGTGTAACTGTACTATTATGCTGGTGTATTGTTGCTGCTAGAAACTGAATTTCCCAGAGGAACCATCCCGAGGGATTAATAAAGTTTATCAAAACCACAAAAAAAACAAAACAAAACAAGAAAAAACACCACAGTACATTAAAGTAAAATGTAACAATGTTACAAAGCAGGTTTAAGTATAAACGACATGCGCAGTACACATACATTTTATAAATACAAGTGAACACAACCACATTAATAATGAGGACACACTAATTTATTTTTGATCGAAGCCATGCCATTAGCAAGAATAAAACAAAGGCATACAGCCAAAGTATTAGCAGAAATCAAAGCCTTTCCAAGTTTCTTCTAAAACTCAGACCATGGTTAACATGTCAGCTTAATGGATGACCAAAAGCAGGGTTAACCATTTGAAGAAGGCAGCTTCTGGACGTGTAAAAAATGGCCTGGAGGTAAATGTATTCTGAAGGCTGCTGCCTTCTAAAGCAGCCCAGCTGTGATCAGCGAGAAAAAGTCACATGTTCACACAAATAGGCAGAGCAGAGCCCATGGCTGATGGCAAACAGCCAAGTGAGCGAAGTCTCTGGACTTCTCTGTCAAAGGCTGCTTCCCAAATGAAGTCCCTGCAATCTCACATGCAGCACAGCCGGAGGCATCACGCCATGGCTGTCTACGGGCGGATCCTGGGCCGGACCATAAGACTCTCCAGCTCCTCTACGGTCTTCCTCAGCTGCTTGGGGTCCAAATGGAAGGTGACATACAGGTCCCGCTCCCGCCGCAAGATGGAGCTGCGCTCCAGCTGGTCCTTCTTGCCACGGATGTCCACCAGGATCTCTTTCAACAGCTTGTTGAGGCCGTCGAGCTGCGACTCCAGCTGCTGTAGCGCCTCCTTCAGCTCCTGTGGGTTGGTGGGCAGGGCATTAAAATTTTTTTTTAAAAATCCTGCTACAGCAGCCATCTTTATCCAGCCTTCTTAACGGGGATTATTCAAGAGCTACTGTCTGTTCTAATGAGCCCCCACAAGGTCCTATGCAGTGACTCTCCAGCGCAATATATTAAACAGCCCTTTCCAACAAAGCTATAGTTATACAGATCAGAGGGACAACAGAGGGACAACCACCACAGATGAGAACCGCAGGTATTTAGCACCTTCCTATCAAATTACTTTAAGAACACCGGCCAACAGCCCATGAACAAACATGAAGAGCAGAACACAAAGACGTCCAAATGCACCTTCACGGATTTAAATGAGTAACAGAGCTACACAGGGCACCGTCACCCGGGACTCCGCGCTTTGCCCGAAAGGCCATCATGCATAAGACACTGGTGGCTGGAATGGAAGAATGAACAGGACGTGGGAGTGCACTGGGACCCGGGGAATCTATCACGCTGCTGCATGATTCACTTAACACCAGTCAGGGGAAACTTTTCAGTGCCAAGTGGGTTTCGGGCAGCAGATTTCCCACACTGACATCCATTTTTAAAAGACTCATGTAGCAGCTGAAGTGAGCATTTTGTGCACGTGCATTAAACTCCTAAGTGGGATGGTGCAGCTCAACCCAACAGAACCACACCTGTGCACCACCCAGCCTTCGCGATGTGCATGATAGGAACCTCTGGACTCTACCTGGCATCACGGATGGCGAGAGCGGGCCGGGAGTGGTGGGGGGACGAGTGAACGTACCTGTGTATTAGGGCAGAGCTCCTGAGTGGCCGGGACACATACCTGCGGCTTCAGCACTGGCTGCTGCAGCCGGCAGTACGTGGCCCCACGGAGCGTGTCGCAGTCGCCCTCCAGACGGGCGGCGCCCAAGGCCTGCCCCCGGGCAGCAGCGGCCAGAGCCTCCTGGGCCGAGCACAGCGCCTCCTGTAGGCGCAGCGAGGCCTGTGCCAGCCCCTCGTAGGTGCGAAAGGGCTGGTCCTGTTCAGACCCCCCATCGACCTCCAAGGCCTTGTAGAGCCTGGGACCAAAGCAAAACAGTGCATGAAAAGCAGGGCTAAGTACACTAGCAGGGACACCCAGTACCAGCATGGAAGCTAACACACAGGGAATAAGGCCACACAAGCACCAGCTAATGACAAACTACACAATCATTACAAAGAAGTACAACCGTCACATAGTGTGTCTATGCTGCTCACGGGTCTGCATTACCCACCTCATGCAGACCAACATCCTCCTTACGCAGTAACACTGACAGTGCTCTGGGGCAGCATTTCTAAACCCAGTCCTCAGACAGACCACATTTTATCTCCCTCCCAGCCAATCATGAACACTGAATACCTGGTACAGGTATGTTGGGAGCCAGAAGGGAGCAAAAACTTATCCTGTCTGATGGTCCCTGAGGACTAGAAACACCATTTTAGGGCCTAGATACAGAGCTATATAAGCATGTAACGCAGCTGGGGAGGGCTGGGTGAGCCAGGTACCTGCTGAAGGCAGCGTCCTTGGCAGTGATAATGGAGCAGGGCCTGGGTGCGAGGCCGAGTTCAGGCTGTGCGTAGACCTGGAGGCGCCGGGCCGAGGTGGTGTGCGCTGCCTCCAGCTTCTGGGCCGCTTCTCCCAGCTGCCGGCACAGCAGCCGCCCCCGGCGCAGCTCCAACTCGTGGGCCAGCTGCAGCAGCTCCAGGGAGGCCTTCTGCCGCAGGAGGACGCTGCACAGCCCATCCTGCCGCGACGTGTAGTAGTCCTGGCGCGCCAGCTGCAGGTCGAAATCCCCGCGCACCACGGGCACGCTGAGCAGCAGGGCGCTTGCTCGCAGGGCCTCCGGCGTGCGGCCGTGGGTCAGGGCCTCCAGCTCGGCCTCCAGGGTCCCTAGCTGCTGTCTGAGCTCCGCTTCACAGGCCTGGAGGCCAGCCATGGAGGCCCGCGTCTGAGTCTAGAGGACAGCAGAGGAAAGAGCAGAACATCAGGACCCCAGTGAGAGGAAGCACAAATCTCCATATGCAACATAGAATCATTCAAAAAAACGCAGCCCGCTCAAGCACAAAGCACAAACTCACCTGCCACTACTCACCTTTTAACACTTTTATTCAAAACATATATGTATTAATAAAGACCATGCTAGAGTTGTGCCTAGGGCTGCACAATTGTAAAAATAAATAAATAAAAATATACGATCTCGATTCACACCTCTATGCGGTCTCATTTCTCGGTTCTTCTGCATTGTATTATATCAGCTGGATAAAAACAAGCACTCCTACTTTTCCCAGAGATTCTCAAGCATCCCATAATTCTGCACTCTCTTTAAAGGCTGCTTTTCCAGCACACCAGGTAAATTCGCAGCTGTTTTCAAAACAGCAGTTGTATTGCATTTCAGAGGGAGGATATTTGTATAACTGATTGACAAAGAAAGTGTTTTAAGTCCCACCCGAAAGTACCAAAAGTACCCCACTGGCCCTATTGGTATGGCTGTTTTGGTTACCCTAACTGAATGGCTAATTGAGCGTTTTCTGTCTGATGGCAGAAGTCGACATGCTGGTCCTGGATCAATAATTTTTGTTGCGTTTCCTTTTCCAGTTTGAGTGCAATAACTGTTTAAAATTAAGAAAAAAAAATCTTAATTGTAAGTAAAACAAACAAAAAAAAAAATCTGTGATTCATATTTATTTCAGATTCATGCAGGCCTAGTTGTACCCCAGCTGTTTGACACCAACATGACCTTGCCATCCTGTCCCACTGCCCCTTACCTGTGCTTTGCCACACACACGCTCTGCGATCCACTGCAGGCCAGCACTGATTGCGTGCTCCTCAGCGCGGCTCTGGAGAAGCCCGTGCTGTGCCACCACGTGGGCCCACTGCAGCCGCGTCATCTCTGAGTGGTAGGCCGCCACGGCGCCTCCATCCCTCTCTCCTGAGCAGCTGCTGAAGTCCAGCAGCTGGAAGTTCTCGGCATTCGAGGCCTCCACCATATTGAAAATCCCCGGGTAGAATTGCTTTCGTGCGAGAAGGGCCAGGGTTTTTGTATTGGCCTCCTCCTGCTGGAGGTACGACTCCAGGGAGAGCTGGGAGAGGAAAACCGAGGGCCCAGGGGCCAGGGAGGCAGGGGGACCAGCGGGGTCCTCCAAATCAGTGGGAAGGAAGGTGGCCAGCCTCTTCACCTCCTGTGAGAGCGCCTGTAGTGCCGAGTTTGTCTCTGCATTTTCAGCACCCAGAGTGGCCACTGTGTCCTTCAGCCTGTGAGAGCTCTCCTCCTGCCGGCCGGCCAGGCGCAGGGCGACGTCTGCACGTGAGGCAGCCAGGACCTGCAGCTTGCGGTGCCGCCTCAGCTTCAGCTTCTTCTCCTGCCGTAGGGCCTGAAGCTCCTCTTCCAGTTGGGTCACATCTGCCTCCTCCAGCCAGGTCGCCAGACTTCCGGGGTCCCGTGACGGGGCTGTCTGGCATGCCTTCAACGCCTCTGCCAGTGCTGCTTCATCCAGGATGGGCTTCCCTGCCTCACGCAGGGCCTGGAACGCCCGCACCTCATCCGGGGCAAGCACATGGCTCGACGTGATGCTACCACAGAAGAAATGCAGGAACTGCCGGAGCTCCGCAACGTCAAAGAGCCAGTCAAAGTCCTCGCCCTTGAAGGCTGCGGCGCCAGGGTAACCCAGCCGCGTGACGGCCTCCACAAACTGAGCACCGTCAAGCATGTCAGAACTTCCAGAACTGGGAGAGAGTACCAGTCCAGTTCATACAGATCTTATTAAAGCACACAGGTATCTGAACAGTCCAACAATTGTCATGAAATTAAGATAAGCAACAACAGAAAAGGAAATAAAAAGTCAGATTAAAAGGACAGCTCTGTTTAAAAAAAAAAAAAAAAAGAAGTGGACAATGAAATATTTTCCCCTGCATGCAATGGGCGTTGTAGTTTAATTCCCCGTTTACAGCAGCGGTATAAACACGAAAGAAGCATGTAGCACAGTACTACCTACATAAACACGTAATTGAAATCTAATGTAGAAGTCAAGTTTTAATATACATCTGTTATTTTTGAAAGATATCTGCACAAGAAGAGCTCCGCCACGTGATCCGTTACGGACGATCTAATTGGCTATTCGGAAATGGCGCGCAATATCAAAAAGCGAGTACCCCACAAAGCGCCTTCACTTCAGAAATGTAACTGACGTATATACATACATTTCCACACATATAATTTCCTGCCATAGAAATATTATATCCTAAACGAATATCAATCCTGTTGTCTGTACCCTCGGTTTCGCCTGTCTTCACAAATTGTTTGCTAAAGCGCTAACTGCGAACGGCTCCATAGTGACCGCTTACTTAGGACAGACATTCGGTTAAAACATTTTTGTCTAAAATTACAAAACGTTTGATTTTATATACGTGTGTATTGCAGTTGCTCTTTTACCGTTATTTTTCGATAGAAGATAAAGCTTCTGAGGAAAACTCCCGTTGGCGCGCTCGCCTCACTGAACCTAACTTAAGCGCTCTGACATCATACAGCCGCGACGGCGGCACCCGTGCTGCTCACTGATGGTGGGCGTTAACTATCTGACAAGTTTGACCAGAGCAGATTTCGAGGCGGTATTCGAACCCGTAATTTTACTACCTGACTACGTGCCTGACCAATACCGATATTCTGTAATTTTAACTGCACACTTATAACACGTCACATCGTCAGGACTTGCAGCCTTAAGAAAACGACCATAAACAAGATAAAAAAAGAACTATTATTATTCAGAATGTTTCTTGACGAATGATGAGAGCTGCTCTAAGACACTAGACCACTAGAGGGGGTTGTGCGGTCCAATTTGCCAAAATAAAATGCACTAAACCTTAAACAGCCCATTGTCTTGCTCATCTTATTAATACTACGGCATTTACAAATGAGTATTTCCAATCAGTCCCCCTTTAAATGTTGCAATATATATGATAGCATAAACTTTAAACCAAGTAAAGAAAAAAAAAATCAGAAATCATTAATTCCTTAACATGTTTTGGTATTTTGGTAATTCTCGTTGAAAGAACAAATCGATCCATCCATCCGTTTTCTATACCCACTTGTCCTATGCAGAGTCGTGAGAATATTTGATTTTCGGTCTAATCAAAGTGAGAGCAAAAAAAATAGCAGGTCACATTATTTTCATATTTTCCCCGCTTTCTGATTTCATTGAAACCCTTCTTATTGTATATTTTGTAATGGGTTTACATCTCATCCTGGGAGTCCCATGCCTTGCGCGCTTTCTTCAACAGGCCTCAAGCTCAGCACAACCATGCACTGGGTTAGTTGTATGGGTTCAGATCACAGTGAGCACCCTGTGAGAACATGGGGGTAACTGCAATGTTACCTGTTGCTCTGGGACCCAGCTTGCAATGTCTTGGCTCCATTCACCTAGACCTGGCCTGAAGCTACAAATCTGTAGTACAATGGGAGTTTAGTTTACTCACGTGTGGGATACTAGAGGAAATGCTGCTGTATGCTGATTACAGAGTGATGATTCTGGGGCTGATTATGTACAGTCTGATAATATAAATGTTGCTCTTTCTTTCCTTGTGGGCATATTACTCTTCGTTGTCTTTAACATGCAAAATGCATGCAGTGTAAACAGCCATCAACATCTAAAATGTGTGGGAGTGTGAAGCAGCAGGAAACATCATCAAACCACACTGACTTCACCTGCAAGTAATGCAAACATTATAAAGGAGCTTTCCAGTAAAATTTCATCATGTGGTGAAAAGTTACTAATTTCTAAAATGATTCACTGACAAAAAAGAATAGACAGTTCTTTCCTAATGTCTTCTTGTAGTATGATGTAGTAAAATTCAACTGATTCGTATCAGCTGCATTTCTAATACATGCTTTTGTTAGATCTGAAAGCCAGGCAATATTTTTAGACCTTGATTTGAATTTCATTAGGCTGCGATCACAGCATCGTTTCCATGGCGAACAGCCGGCTGCTTCAGGCATATGAGAGAAATCGCTTGGTGTCCTCCAATCACATGCCAGGTGCAGTAGATCAAGGGGCAAGGATGTCGCCAATGGAACTCCAGCCACAACAAACAAAACATATGTTTAGAGGTATAAAAATGGCTTTTGGAAGAACACAAGCAAACATGTATGGAAATCCACAGTGTTTAATTATCCTAGTATCTCTTTTTTTCTGTTAGGCACTATATGTACAGTCAAAAAAAAGGACCAATTTGTAGTTTTGAGGGTATAATTACAAATGTAGCAGTGGGGTTGGTGAGTGGCACAGCAGGCTAAGTCTGTGCTTGCGATTGGATGGTTGCTGCTTCAAACCCCAGCCTCAGCAGAACATTCACATGCCCATGGACCTTGAACACAGCCCTTGCCCCACAGCTCCAGGGGTGTCATACATTAGCTGACCCTGCATTGTGACCTTTCCCCCCAGTACATAAAGGTTATTTGTACCTTGGGAAACAAACCTTTACCTGGGATGTACCCTTTTTCCTGACAGTGTAAGTTTGTCTGTGAACCATATTTATGCACCTTAAGTACATTCTAGAGCAGCATGGTGGTGCAGTGGTTAGCGCTGCTGCCTCACAGCAAGAAGGTCCTGGGTTTGGTCCCAGCTCCTTTCTGTGTGGAGATCACACACTCTCCCTGTGTTCACGTTTGCTGGGGGCTCTGGTTTCCTCCCACAGTCCAATAGCATGTAGGGTAGGCTGATTGGTGTGTCTACACTGGCTGTGTGAGTGTGTGTGCCCTGTGGTGTGTTGGTGCCCACCTGGGGTTGGTTCCTGGCTGTGCCTGTTGTTCCTGGGATGAGCTCTGTGACCCCAGTGGGGATTAAGTGGTTATGATGATGGATGGATGGATGGATGTACATTCTTGCTGCTGTAAGCACCAGAATTTACCAGGATCAATCAACTGCAACTTAATCTTAACTTTTGGTATACAGTACTTGGAGGATGACTTCCGTCATCTACTACCGCTACTACGCATCTGTATAAAATAAGACAATAACAGGTGACCAGTTTCAAAGATCGTGGGGCAAAGGGAACCTTCCTATCTGATGCTTAGTAAATGCGAAAATAAACGTGATAGGTAATCAGTGAAAAAACACTCACAAATGCATTGGTGTCTGTGCTTCATCAAACCAAAAAGCAAAGTCATAACATGCTACCCATACCTCGCTGATCCTGCTAGCGTCTCTAAGAGACCTCTGATTGATGGAAACCTGAGCTGGTATACCGATGTCGTAATGGAATAAAAATGTATATTTGGCGTAGGCCTACCTAAGGGGATTAAGGGTGGAGACCATGGTAAATTTTAAATTGTGTTTTTATATTGTTATTTTCAAGTATTGGCTTCAGAAAACTTAAATGGATAAAGCCACACAACACTCGCGTAGAACATAATTTGCACTGCGTACTGGTGTCAATAGGTTTGCCCCCCGAACGGGGCGATCCCGTATTATAAGGGACCGGTGGCAACCGTAGGTGTCAGCTATAAACTCAAATCTCTTAAAAGTTTAGTTCTTAAATAATCGACGATTTCACCGTTTTACATTCAAAACATAAAAGGCGTTAGTTTAAAACTCTGCAGCATTTTTGAGGGGATTGTTTTGGTGTGCATAGTAAAAAATGATGTTTTTGAACACAAAATATCAATGGGCAGATAAGTCCCCCGTAACAGACACGGCGGTAGCCAGCTGGTAGGTAACCATGGTCCGGTACTCGGTAATTTTTTAAGCACTGTTTCGAATTTATAATTTAATTTTATTTAATTTTAAATTAAATTTGAAAATACATTTTCCCCATGAATAAAAATAGGCTAAGTAACGTTTAACATAACTAATTGATTTTTTTTAAAATAAACAGCTTATGAAAGGGACTTTATCAATAATGTGATTGACGAGATCCACTCCGGGGCCCGACCCCACTATTTTCCAAACCTTAATTGCTTACGGTCCAGGGAACAGACGAATAGCATAGTCATGCTACCCAATCAGCTTTCTTCTTTGCCGCATTAAACTTAAATGGCCATTGGATAGTGAAACTATCAATGACTGAAATCCCCGTCTGTTTACGGTTTGTTTAGTCATTGTGACTCACTCGATTAACGCGTTATAAATGTAAATGGCCTACGTACAGTACAGTAATAACGATAATCTCCGCACTGTATATAGCTGATTATATAGGCATGCCTATGTGTCTACCTCTCGAGCAGGTAACTTTAACTGTGAGAATTACACAGCATGTTTCATTCAAGTTTCACCAACAGTGGGAAGTATGTACATACACCTTCATTAGTTTCTATTTGCGCAGCATACTATTGCAGCATATAGGGACATGTAGCACGTGGCTCCGTATATTGAAGATGTGTAGTCGAGATACAGTAGGTTGTTGTTCAGGTTCAAGAAATTGCGTCACGGTGTGATTTTGTGTATAAGAGCGTCTGCCTATCGCCTTGGGTTGGCATCCCGTACAGGGTGCCCCCCCTTCCCCACCTGCGCTGTTCTTCCGGGAATAGACTGCAGACCTACCAGCGTTCTGTCCTGGATAAGGTGTTATGGACGATGGATAATATAAACCATAGTATGTCGCGTACTACAGCTAGATGAGCTTATGGGTGCGTGTAGCGTATTTGCAGACAAAGTCCCCCCCTTGGATGGGTTCTCCTCTGCGGGGGCGGGGCTGGGGCTCGGCTGAATGCCTTATAAACGGGAGCTGGATAAAGCGCAAATACGCCTTCCGAATTTCATACAGGAGCGACGGGATCTCGGGGTACAGTCTGTTTTCAAAATGATCGTCGTCATTGAAAATCAGGTAAGGAGCAGAGAATAAGCCAAAATAACGTTTAGATATAGATGCAGATGCGTGTTTTATTTCTTAAATGCTTCTCTGTATTATGAACGATATATATATATATATATATATATATATATATATGTATCACTTCTAACTTGTGTGCTTTATAAAGATAATTAAAAATGTATTTTTCTGTTACACGAAATGTGAGGTGGGGGCCCTTTAAACATTTAATGACGGATGTGGGTCAGTTTCGATTCAGAAAGGTTGGGATAAAAGCAAAAGTTGGGAAACGGAAAAAAGTTTCTGATTTGGACATCGGGGGACATATTATAATTGGTTTTAGGCGTAAATTTTGACCCAGACTTCAAAGTGGAGTATTGTATCGTTTTATCAGACAGTAATCAGGGAGCCGAGGACGGAGAAATGCGGCGTATTACTGGGGACCGTGCTTGTTAACGCACCCGAAAGCTGTCCACGGCGAAATCTGGTGGTTCCTGCGCTCTATAATAATTATAAGGCTTCTAGCATGTCAACTGACACGCATCACTCCATGATTACTGATATAAAGTAGTCTAATAAAATTGTATAAATAAGTATAAGCTTTATTTGCACGACGCAGTCCGGAGTTTGAGTCCCCACCTTGCGAGGTAGCGTGCCTCTGCAGGTAATCTTATCTTATTTTTAATAATATTTAATATCTAATATTTAATCAGTGAAATGAACATCTGACGAGTCTTACAGAACTGTGTGGAGTGTGTCTCACTGTCTGGTGGCTGAACTATGGACCAGACTATGAGTAGGTATATATAGGTCGATACTGTTAGTGACAGCCGGAGAGGCTTCAGTGCTTGAAACGGGCCCTTAAAACGGGGCATTTCCCTTTGAATCGGTCCGATTAAATGCGCATTGACATTCGGTATTGTGGTGACGCCACCTTGTTCTAACTGTTTGATGCGTTTGCAGCCTCTTCTTCCCAGTGTGTAGCCCAGCGGTTTCACTTTGACTAAAAGCTTTCAACGGGCTATCCGGTGGGACTGTTGGAGTTGTGATCATCTAGCCTCATATTTTATTAAGATCCATTTAAAAATATGAAATTGTTTGTAAATTGTGTGAAAAGTGATGCCGGCCTCTCTCTTTTCCAGGAAGCTTTTGACAAGGCGCTCAGAGATGCAGGTGACAAACTTGTGGTTGTGGACTTCACTGCAGTTTGGTGTGGCCCTTGTCAAAGCATCGCCCCATTCTATAAAGTGAGCATTACTGGCAATCTCATATCTTAAGTTACACACTATGTGTATAACTTTGTATATTGGATGCTGCCAAATAATCCATTGAGCGGGGGTGGCATATTACTTGAGGTGCAGCCTTTTAGGCTATTAGAAATGGATCTTCCAACCAAATCTACATAATGCTTCAATGAATGGAAGCAGAAGGAGGACCCAGAGCTCTGTTGTTTACCGTTGCTAGGCGACCATTGGGGAAGTCTCTTCCACCCTAGGCTTCTGATGTCTGTAATAATGAGGACCTCTAGCAAGTGGCCTATTCCTGGCTCTGCTGGACGTCTGACATTTCTTTTTACAGAAGAATAGGTTGCATAATCGGGAATGGAGGGCAGTTCCCAGCCTCTGTGATCGCACAAAATTTACTGTTTATGGGTGGAGGGTTTTTCCAGTCATGATTGCCAAATGTCCCACTCGCTGTACTGTCATGTAGCATCTCTGAAATGAGGAACATGATCACACTGTAATTGATTAACAGATGATGGACGTGTCCAGTACTGGCTGAGCTCTCTGGAAAGAGAGTACAGCTCTGATCTTTTCTGTTACTGTTTTTGGTCACTAGAGTCTCTCCGAAAATCCAGATTACATACAGGTTGTGTTTCTGAAGGTAGATGTGGACGACGCCCAGGTAAGCAGAGCTTGTTGGTTGTTTGCCATCCACAGATCTTTGTTTCCTCATTTTGTTTGGGGGAGGGGTGCATGCCTGTATTCTCTTCTTGATGCATCACGCTTTGCTGTGGAACTTTCTTCATGTGAATTCTTTAGGCTGGGTTCCACATTTGGTGAATGGCCAACTTCAGGTTCCGTAGTAGGTGATGGGTCAATTTCAGGTTCCGCAGCAGGTCATTGGTCAACTTCAGGTTCCATGCTTGCTGGCTATGTTCGGCATGTCAGCATGGAGGACCACTATAAACTGGGCTGCTTTTCATTGCAGGATGTGGCCAGCTTTTGTGACATCAGTTGCATGCCCACCTTCCACTTCTATAAGAATGGAAAGAAGGTAATTTCTGCCGTTTAAAAATAGTTTTTATTAGTTCACTTACTTGAATCCCTTTCAGCAAAAATTCCATTCTTGATATGTGAGATCCACCTTCTGAAATATGAGATCCACCTTCTGAAATATGAGATCCACCTTCTGAAACGTGGATCTGCCCACAATGACACTGAATTCTCCTCCCATTCTGGAAATGCCATCTGTAGGCTTAATGTTTTACTGTAGCTGAATGTAGCTCCTGTTCTCTCAGTCCCTCATTCATTCACCCAACCCTTGTCTCGCCTTGTCCTCTCCACACTCCTCCCTTCTAGATTGACGACTTCTCCGGATGCAACCAGGCCAAACTGGAGGAGAAGCTGAACAATCATAAATGAAGCCTTCACATCTGCCCATAAACACTGTATCACTCTCAGCCTTCTTCATCTCCATGACTTAGTATTGCTGGTGGTCCTGTTGTTTGAATGGATTTGTGTACGCCAAGCATTCTGTAACATACACTCATTGTTCAAACAGCATTAGAGCCACCAGGTTCAAAGTGAATTTGCTGCTTCTGGTTCTTTGATAATTAGGCTTGTTATTCCCATGCTACTTATACTTATTTGACTTATAGTACTATAATACTATAAGTCAAAGTATTATTCGGCATTTTTTACTGTCACTAATAAACTAACATTGACTCTGAGTGCCTGTGTATCACTGTGTATTCATTTGCGATCTTCTCACAGGGGCCGTCGGTTATTAAGCCGCCAGTAGCAGTCTTTCTGCTTGTGGGTGACTAATGACGGTCATTCCCCTGCTTAGCGTAGTGTTTTTGGAAAGCAGCCGGGCCTGGCTCTCGGGGTCGCCCTGTGCTGGGGAACTCCATTTGTGACATGGCGTGAACAAGGAAGCAGAGAAACAGTAATGCTGGATGGACTTCTGAGTCAGTGCTTGGTTAGGGCACAGAAGCAAAAAGCTGCCCAGTCAGTGTGTAATTGGGTATATCCCATTTTTTAATAAATCACCCATTATGAAGATGTCAAAATAATACTTATACATCCAGTAGACGACAATTACGAAATGAAAGTCCAAAGTAATGAAGAATTTTATATAAACACTTCGGTAGCACTTAAGGCCATGTTTTTAGTAATTTGCAAACACATTCATAATATATTCATAAAGCATTATAAACAATGCATTATAATGGTTGATATAAGTATTAAGGATGCTTTGTACTGCATTATGAAGGCATCTATAGTGCATTATATATGAGAGCTTCATAAAGCAGTCATAATGCATAATAAACATGGCTATAATGTGTTATGCCTTTTTATAAATATAGCCATGTTTATAATGCTTTATGAATGTATTATGGATGGGTTTATAAATGATTAAAACATGGCCTTAAGTAAAGCATCACCAACACTTCATTGAAAGATTTGTACTAATTAACGACCTGAACGTACTGCCAGATTAATTTTTCATGGTTTAATAAAAACATGAGAATTGTTTACACATATACATTGCACAATCACGTCTGTTTTTACACATAGTAAAAGCATATAGCAGCATACAATTAATACTGTTGGTTTCTATATGAAAAAATACAGCTTTTATTTTACAAAAAAAGTATTTTAAAAAAGGAAACTGATGGTTTACATTATGAAATTATGATCCACATGTACCTCGGCAGGAATACAATGTTATGTTGAGTAGTGACTCCATCTTAAAAATTAAATCCTGATTTTCTTTTCCTGAAAGAGGAAAGATAGATTAAATGCAAAGATTAAATGTAAAGTACTGAACAGTAGTCTTAGGCTGTCAAAGAAAATGGTTAAATTTATTTATCAGGGAAGTAAAGTTTGCCCAAAAAAACCCACAATGTAACTTTTGAGTTTATCCAAATAGTAACCGAATAAAAGCTAACAAACACGTCGTCCTCTCCTCAGCCGCACTCCAGCCATTACATTTGTTTGTTAAATTTCACCACCAGCTCGTGATTAACTTAAACAAGTTAAACAAGTCAATGGGGTATTGATTGCCAAACAAGGCATGCCAGGGGTCAAGTCAAAAATACATGGGTGTATTGGATGATTGCTGAAGATACTGGGGTGACATTAGGAGAGGGTTTGGAATGGCTATGCCGACAGCCTTCGACAGACAAAAAAATCATAGGTTTACACGGATATAATCATTTAAACATTTTCATTCTAAGACTTTTACACAGTACTGTCAGAACTTTTTACAACAGACACAGCTTTCTGTCTTTACATCTCTGTGTGAATGAAGGTAAAGCGATCATGCTGGGATAGCTGGTTTAATTGTTAAAAATATAGTAGTCCTGTTGTCCTCTAGAAAGAGATTGACTGAGATTGCTCAGACTCGTGCAGTCTGGATCACACCAGTGGTTGAGTGGTTGGAACGTTCTTTAATCCATTCATCCATAAGTCACAAATCCTAGATAGGGTCGCTGGGAATTATCTTTAATCTTATTTTAAAGCATTTATTCTTACTGTATGCTGTGAATAAGCTGCCTAAGTAACGTGATGTAAGTCAAAGGTGTCAAACTCCAGTCCTGGGGGGCCGGAGCCCTGCACATTTTTGGGGTTTCCTTCATTTAACACACCTGATTCAACTCCTTGCGCTAATTACCACACAGCTCTTGAGCTGAATCATTTGTGGTGGAACAGGGAAAGAACTAAGCTACACAGGGCTCCGGCCCCCCAGGACTGGAGTTTGACACCTCTAGTGTAAGTGAAAGTGGATCTCTGTCTAGTATTGCTTAAGCAGCTTGTAACAGCTGTTTTCCTACATGAAATATAATAGCATGCCAGCCAGAGACGCCAAGAAGTACAGTTAGGGGATTTAATCAGGGTATCTGTCTGGCAGAACTGACCCAGGCATCGTGTGCTATGTGAAATGTGCATTATTCATACTTTATATATGAAGACATCGAGTCTGTGTGTGAGAGCACCCCCTGGTGGCAGCAGCGATCACCCACTTACCTGGAGCAGTCGTGCCCGCTCCACCCCGAAGTGCAGTGACACCGATTAGGCCTGATGCATCTCCCGCCATTCAAACATGGCGATGAACACACGGCTGGGGAGGGGGGAGTCACATGACTTTCAGAAGAAGGTAAAAAAAATGCAATAGCTACCCCACACTCATCTGACAACACACTGGACCACAGCAAGATAACATATAACCTCATAAGCATTCTTCATAGGTAGAACAACACTGATACAGCGATAAGTAAATTATCTACTCTAGATACTGCTGCAGAAATGATACAGTGACAGACAGGTATTGGATTCTAAGGCATGTGTCCAGGAATTTGGCACACACTGGGAGATAATGCAGGTAGATCATTCGCAATGAGATACTTTCATCCCTGTAACAGCACTGATGTAGTATTAGTAATAGAGGACTTGTTCTGGCCGCAGGGCACTGTATTAACTCCTGAAGTCACTGGATTAATGTGTGTGAATCAAAAAGGTTATCAGCCTCAGACAGAGACATCGCTTTTATTTAAAACTTTTGAAGGAAAGTGTCTCAAACTTGGCAGATGTCTGTACGATTCAAACAAGATACGTGCGATATTTGAACCTTTGCACCCCATTGCAAAAAGCAATAAAGGGTCACATTCGAATTTTTAAAGATTTCCATTTTAGTCGTCCTCTCGGAGGGTCGGGGAGCTCACCGCTGTGGCAGCGTGTGCCACTCCACCCTGCGGGGCACTCGCACTGGTAAGGGGCCACGCAACGCCCCCCATTGAGGCACGGCAGGATGCAGATGGCTACGGAGGAAAGATGGTAGATTAGGGACGTGGAGAATCACTCAGAAAAGTCACAAGCATTCATGCACTTTCAAGCCGTACATGTTATTTTAAGTGAGTAAATTAATCATGAATAAAACGGCTGAATGAAATCAGAGGCGGTCAGTCTGTAAGTAAATAAACAAAGAAGTGAAGGGATGAGTTGGCAGCTGTGTGGAAAAATGAGTGAGTAAGCTAAAAATGCGTGTGAATGAATAAATGAGTAATGAAGCGACTAGGCAGTGAAGTGACAGTTAATGAGTGTATGAGTGTATGAATGTATATGTGTGAATGAAAGTGAGTGAGTGTGACAGTGAGCGAGTGTGTAAGTGACTGAGTAAGTAAATGAGTGAGTGTGTGAATGAATAAGTGAGTGAGAGAATGTGTTAGTAAGTGAGTGTCAATAAATGAGTGTGTGAGTACATGAATGAGTGAATCAGTGAGTGAGTGAGTGAATCAGTAAGTGAGTAAGTATCCAGCCCTTGGGGCAGGAGCAAACATTGGGCCTCTGGAGTGTGTGAATGAGTGTGAGAGTGCATGAATTAGTGAATCTGTGAGTGAGTGTGAGTGAGTGAATCAGTGAGTGAGTGAGTAAGCGAATGAGTGAGTAAGTACTCACGCTCCTCACACAGCCGGCCCATCCAGCCCTCGGGGCAGGAGCAAACATTGGGCCTCTGGCACAGGCCTCCGTTCTGGCATTGGAGCCAGCAGATGGCTGGAACAGGCAAACAAAGCAGTGTGTTTTTCGCCTGGACCCCGAGTCACACCAGTGTTTAGTGCCTATCACATCCTCACTGTCCACCAACATCAAAAACAAGCCATGCACTGTCCATGCGTCCACATGCCTCACGACCATGCTTTACACTGAGTCTCCCAGCATGCTTTTGGCCTGGATACCAGCATAAGAGTCCAGGAAACCCTGGTGGATACGTGGCTGGGGGGTCAGGATGTTCAGTGTCATGGTGCAAAATAATGGAAGCATTCTCCATGGCAACATAACTGACACTTCAAATGCTGAATGTCATCTTTGATGTTCTAGACATGACCTGGAACCATGAGATATCAAGGATTCCCTTCGTACTTTTGCCGAGTTCCAGGTTCTGCGTGACACCGGTTCTGCGTGACACCGGTTCTGGTGTCAGTACCGGGCGTGTGGCTGGTGCATGACAAGGCAGGCCAGCAAGGCGCTCTACCTCTGCACGTGGGAGCGGGGGTCCAGGTCCCGTTCTCCAGGCACCTGCTCCTGCTGGTGCCCTCCATGGCGTACCCCCTGAAGCAGGAGTACAGGGCCATGTCCCCATACTGGAAGACAGCCCCCCGCACCATGCCATTGCTCACGTGGCGGGGGGGGCCGCAGGAGACCCCTGCACGCAAGCAAGGGAGAGGCTGTCTGAGTCGAGCCGGACCACCAGGAGCGCCACCCCACCCTGCCCAGTGCTCTGTGTTCTACACATGTTCCTCAATCAGGAATTCAGTAATCCATTGCTTTGGCCAATCTACAGGAATTTGTTGGTACAGTAAACCTTTAATCCATGACTCAGCATCTGAGTGGTTTCATTCTTTTTTTACTTCATGAAAGCACAACACCCTATACTTAATATGCTAGCAATGCTAATATCACATATATTTGTCTTCATGCTATTCAAACTGGCAAGTAAAGCAATTTAGTTCTTTTGTGGGGTAACTGACTAGACAGAATAGCTTATTGGAGATCAGTGGCCTGTACTACGAAGTGGGGTTACTGGCTTATCAGGGTAACTTGTCTGATTTAAGGTACCACAGTTTAAATGGACTTCATATTCGTTCACTTACATTTTGTCCAAACTACCTCAAATCTGAGTTACCCCGATAAGCCAGTAACCCCGCTTCGTAGTACAGGCCACAGGTCATGCAGGGACACGCACATACTAACACGAGCACACAGACAGCCCACCTAGTTGCATATAATTCCACACACATGCACATACATGTGGACCTGCAAACAGAATCAAAGTTTAAAGCCAATTATAGGGAAGCAGAGGTGGATAGTTCAAGTCCAGAAAGTGAAAATTCAGACCAAGATTTTGTTTATACCAACCAGTTGAGCATAAAGAGTCACAGTCACAGAGTACTCAACTGGTTGGTTGAAATAAAACCTTGGTCTGGATTTATACTTTCTGGACCTGAACTGCCCACATCTGCAGTGGAGACAGGGATAATGTGGCCTAATGTGGCCTTATGTGGCCTTGGTTAGGGTTAGACACAACAGACCATACGATCACACTCTGCGGTTCCCTGTAAAAACAAGGGCAATCAAAGTCACTAAAACACCAAAGTCACACCGGCCATGCAAAAGGGAAGCGAAGAAAGAGGAAGGTCTGCCGGGTCTTACTGACCTCACAGCGCCACCCCAAGGGTGAGTGAAACATAGCAAACTTCTTTTTAATCACCCCAGCGAAGAGTGATTCATCCTCTTAATTTAAATGACACCCCGATCCCTATTGAAAGTGCTGAGGGGTTTACAGAATCCCAGAGTGAAAGGGCTCATCCAGTACAAAGCCTACAAGCCAGACTTTTTGTTCAATAAAAACTCTCGATATCTCTGATCAGAGACGGACATAGATGTATTTCAGCAGAGGTCTGTCTTTACTGAACACAACCTTCAGAGATGAGATGCTTGCAGAGACTATCACACATCAGTCTCCTTGCAGGAAACGCACAACCCGTCACACTTTTTTGTGCTCCCCTGCTTTCAGCCCAGCAGCCATTCCCCTCTCTGCCCCCCCCCCAAATGTAACACTCCATAGGCACAGAACCTCTACACACTACCAACATGACACAACTAGCATGCAGAGGCCCCTCTCATCACTATTACCCATGAACACCATATCACCCCCCACCCCCCCAAAAAGGCTACTCACTCTCACACAGAGCCCCAGTGGGGGCCCACATCTGGTCACTCCTACAGGTGATGGTTACAGCACCCTGGCTCTGGTGGCCCTTCGGACAGCTGACCGGCACCGTCTCCCCCACGAAGAAGACCCTTCCGGAGGCATTAGCGCTCGGGTCGAGCAGCCCGGGGGGGGAGGGGCAGGGCTTTGCTGTGGGGGTAGGGGAATCGGGGGTCACATGACCATGTACCAGCATTTAGGCACCTTGTGGTACCATCGCCACAGACTCCCTGGAGCAGCTCTTTTGATTGCAGCTGAATCCAAGGCGTCCCTCTGTCTAATTGCAGGTGGTTTGAGGTCTGCGATGAGTGAAATATGGCCGAAATAAACACAGTCTTTCTTTTTTTTTTTAAATAGGTGTCCCTGTTTAAAATTCATTGTAGTCATCTTATGATGAAATGTCTCTTTTTGTTTTTAAGACCTGCACAAAACCATGTGCAAAGAGCTTTCCAGACAAGAGGCAGCGTTGGTGTTAGCAGTCCGAAATGTTCAGGGTGAAGGATGACTGCTCAGATTTAGAAATGTGACATGTGATTTAAGACAAGGTTCATGCTTTGTGACAAGTAAACATCTCAATCGTCTCCACATCCTCAAGGCACTTGTCTAGTACAGGGTAAGGGGGGGGGGGGGGGGATCCTATCCTAGTAAGCTAAGGGGACAGGGCAAAGTGCACATATACACACACACACACACACACACATATTGCATTCATATCTTTGTGGGACCATCCATTCATTTCTATGGGCAAAACCCTAATCCCAACAATGACAACCTCAACCCCAGCCCAGCCCTAACCTTAACCATAAGTAACCAAACCAAATACAAGCCTGTTGGCATTTTAAGTTTTTTGATTGCAGTGACAGATTTTTATAAAATTGAGTTTCACCCTGTGGGGATGGAAAAAAAGATTTTGGTCGTAGTGTAATGTATACATGAGATACATAAGTAGCCAAACCAAACAAAATACACCCTTGTGCAAATTAATTGAAACAAGTTAAACATATCAACATTTCAATATATAATAAAACCTCATCAGTTTTGTAGTAGCATTTGGTTGAATCCACCAATTCTGAGCAGCCTCTGATGATCTTAGGGTCCCAGTACCATATTTGAATTAGAGTTTAGAATTAGGTGATCAGTGGTCATTGTTGACATACCACAGCACACAGTGCACAACAATGAAATGTGTCCTCTGCATTTAACCCATATGTGACATCGTGACATAGCAGGGGGCAGCTAATTCAGCACCCGGGGAGCAGTGCTTGGGGGCGGTACCTCGCTCAGGGTACCTCAGTGGTGCCTTGCTGGTCAGGGATTCGAACCAGCAATCTTTCAATTACAAGTGCACTTCCCTAACCATGAAGACACCACTGCGAAAATAACTCTTGAATAGGCTTATCATTTGTAGTACAGTCCATCCCACGAAGGCACTGCTTGCAGATTGACCACAGATTCTGTATAGGGTTTAAATCCAGAGAGATTCCAGGCTAGTCAAGTACCTTGATTTTCTTTTTGTTGATGAAATCCCTCCCCATTTTCGACATATGGCACAGGGCTAGATCATGCCGAAAGATGCCTGACCCGCGAGAAAATGTAACAATGATGAAATTACCGACATGCGATGATGCAACCCCAACCCATTGAAAGAGTGTGTAATGGAGGCATATTGTTGGCTTTTTTGAATTAAACCGAAAATCAGATTGTAAAAGAAGTACTACTTGTTTCAATTAATTTGTAGGGTGTACAATACTTTTAACATTTTTTTAATTTATTATATTGAGTTTCCTCTTGTGGGGACTCAAATAATGTCCCCACACCGTCAAAATAATAGGTTTTTGTCACATTTTGGGGACATCTGGTCCCCACAATGTGACACATACATGAGCACATACACATACTCACACACACATCCCAAGCAGCCAATGGGATTGTCGCATACAGCTTTTATTATGCTGATGAGTTTATACGGGACATACGTGTGCACGTGGGGAACGGGGAATCCCACGAGCCATTGGCCAGGCAGAGGAGCAGGGGCTCCCCCTGGAGGGTGTAGCCCTTGCCACACTGGAACTCAACGCTGCGCCCAGTGGTGAAGTTGTGCACCAGCAGCCTCCCATGAAGCAGTTCTGTGGGGTCCTCACAGCCCACAGCGGCTGTGACAAGAGAGAGAGATTCTCGTGGGTCGGTTTATACACAGATAGATACTTTATTAGGTGTAGCTGCTTGCTAATGCAAACAGCCTGTTCCAGCAAGAATCTGGTCCAGTCACTGTTTGGCTAAATATTATAACGGCTAAGTTGAATTATCTAGGGGATTTTAAACACGGTGCCAGATGACTGTCGGTGCCAGATGAGGCGGATCCAGCCAGCGTCTCAGAATCAGCCGCCCTCCTGACATTTTGATGAACTACAGAGTGTTTATGTTACAGAGAACAGTGTGATGAACAAAAAACATTCAGTCAGGGGGAGGTCTGTGGGTGTTAATGAGAGGGGTCAGAGGGGAATGGACAGACTTGGGAAAGCTAACAGGAAGGCTGCCTGCAAAAACAACAGCTCAGCACGACAGCGGTGGACAGAATGTATGAATGCACCACTTGTCAGTCCTTGAGGTAGTTCTGGAGACAAAAAGGGGTCCTACTTAGTACTATGTAGGCATACAGGCATTGAGGGCATGTTTAGAGGGACATTACACATACACAACACATTACACATGTATTACACATAAACCATAATTTGATACTGAGTGTGTTATTGCACATTACCTACCTTCACACTTTGGTGTTGGTAGGCTCCATGTTCTGTTGGACAGGCAGGTGAGGTTCTGTGGGCCAACCAGACGCAGCCCGGAGTTGCACACATAACTGACATTGCTCTGGTATGTTTCACCAGAAGCCACGGCAACTGCGCCTTCCACCACTGGAGGGGTTCCACAGGAAACGGCTTGTGAAATACAAACAAGAAAATGCCATTGTCATGTTTAACATACCTCACAATAAGCAAGAAGTTCTGTGGTGAGTGTCTGACAGTCTCATTTTCATATCGACACGTGTGTATAGACAATCACGCACACACTAGCACACACTAGCACACACTAGCACACACTAACACATACACACAGGTACTCACAGAAGAAGTAACAAGCACAGTTGTGTGTCTTACCCTCACACACGGGACGCACGCCGCTCCACGAGCCGTCGCTCTGGCACGTCTGAAAGGTCTCCCCCTGCAGGGCACAAAGGTGCACAACATCCACCTGTGACTTACTGACCATTGGGGTATATACACGGGGATGGACATAACTGGCACGCAAGTACGCATTCACCTTTAAAAAAGATACGTGTGACAATCGATTGTTTGTAAAAGTGCAAATGCATACTTATTTTATGTGCATTTGTGCTGCTATGACAAGAAAATACCTTGCATTTTAACTTGCATACCGTATATGCAGTAGTTAGCATATAAAGATTAAAATGCATTATATTTTGTTTTCATATCAGTGCAAATGCATATAAAATAAATACGCATTTCTGATTTTACTAACAATCGATTGTCGCATGTATCGTTCTTAAAGGTGAATGCGTACTTATGTACCAGTTATGTCCATCCCTGCAGATACACTTTTTTTACCCAAGGAAGCTAATTCTGGGAAGAGCATGGGGTCTGAGGGAAGAGGGGGAAAGATCAAGTCCAGGAAGTACAAATTCGAACCATGGTTTTGTTTCACCCAACAAGCTGAGTGACTGTGACTCTTTATGCTCATCTGGTTGGTTGAATCAAAACCTTGGTCTGGATTTAGACGTTCTGCACCTGAACTTTCCACCTCTGTCTGAGGCTTGGTGCTGAAGTAAGGGAGTCTTCTTGGCCTGTAGACCTTGTCTAGAAGGAAGCCACTTCTGACCGAGACACTACCACCATCAAGACCGCAGACCAAAGACCTCAGGCTTATATGAGCCCAGCTACAGGCTAATCCTAGATTAATGTTACTCTATGGCTCAGCAGGTTAGGCCGCTGGGCCTGTGATCTGTAGGCGACCCTGAGCAAGGCCCCTAAGCCCCAGTTGTTTCAGGGATTCTGACCATACTTTCTGTAGTGTGCTGCTTTGGAAAGAAGTGTCTGCTCTATAACAACATTTTAATATCCCGTACCTGTATTCTGAAGCCAGGCAGACACTTGTAGTTGACAGTGTCGCCGTAGCTGAAGCTGTCACCGTTAACGTGGCCGTTTTGAGGGTGGGGAGGTCCTCTGCAGCTGATCGGCTCACACGACTTCGCGGAGAATTCAGGAGACCACCAGCCACCATGCTGCGTCGAAAGACAGCCAGCGGTGATCAGTTGACTTTCTGTGACCATTTGACATGGAGGCCTAGGGTTTAAAATAATGCTCACGTGCCTGACATTCAGACGTCCCGGGGCCCTGGAGCTGAAAGCCTTCCTCACAGGACAGGGTGACCGTGCTCCCGACTGGAGTGAGGTCCTCGCCCAAGACGAGAACGTGCGTCAGGTCATGGGGCAGGACGCAGGGCGCCGGCGTGCAGCGCACGCTGCTCGGGGACCAGGAGCCGTCACCCAGGCAGCTCAGGGTGTCCCCCAGGCTGCTGAGGTGGTAGCCTTCCTGGCACCTGCAGAAAGAGCCAGAGCATTTCATTACCACGGATCCTGCACATTTTCGTTTTCAAATTTCCAGGCTATATAAAGCAGGGCTAACACCATGGTAAATTCTAACGGACAAGCCAGGCCAAAACGTAATTTTTGTCACAGACATGGCATTTAAAAACGCAGAGTATGTAGTTTTTTTTATCACATGTTCGAAATGTCAAGCAACTTCACACATACGTTGCATTTTGCTTTCTGTTCACATTTGAGATCCTTAACCAAGCTGTCATTTTTCCAGGGTTGGCAAGCCAAGCAGGAGAAAACCATTATAATTGGCAGGGTAGCCTGTATCAGCATTTCTTGCTGGAGATATATCAGCCGTGCACCCCACACAAAGTCCTTAGTTTGGGTCGTTACTCTTCAGTGTGTACCCCATGTGCATTCCGGTGCAGACAATCAGCTCCCAATGGTGATTTCACCAAAAACATTAATACGGAAATTCAGATGTTTTATTTAAAATACATAGTAGGCCAATTTGTTTCAAGAAGGTGAAAATACCAAAATATTTCCATACTTTATTCCCTTTTCCCATAGTTATCCAGATTTATAAAACACTGAAATCAAATTCCACACTTTTTCATACTTCTTTTGAACCCTGAATTACAGATACCCACACTGAAAATGTAACTTTTTAAAACTGTTTGATAAGTTAAAGATTAGAGTTTGATTAATCTTCCACATGTTCACCCAGTCTGGAATAGCCAGTTAATGCTGATTAATCACACTATGCCAGAATCCACCTCACTGTATTGACTGAAAAGTGTGGAAGAAATGCATGTCACTCCGCTGCCAGCAGATGTCGCTGTAGAGTAAAGAGGAGGAATGCGGCTACCCATCCCAAATGAAGGAACAGGGTGGTCTGTCTGGCTGCAGACAGCAAATGCGGGAATCTCAATGCCCCTGTATGGGTGCCACTGGGGGGGACCCATAACATATTTTCGGACATGACTGCATTACCCAGTGTATTAGTCACGCTACCTGTGCTAACTGTGAGTTAGCAACTGTGATTTAGCCGTGTTATTTTCCGGTTAGTGGTCTAGCCACTCCCTACTAGAGTTGAGGCTCTTACCTTACCTGTACTGTACTTGGCTCCCAAAGGTGAACTTGTCTCCGACGACCTCCGCATTTGGGATGGTAGGTGGTGGCCCACACGACACAGGCAAACAAGAGAAGGTAGGCTTGCTCCACCCTCCAGTCCCAGTGCAGGTGACGGGGGCATAGTTGGCCATCTGGTACCCAGGCATGCACCTGTAGGTTACCATGTCAGGGTAGGTGGCGCTGCTCCCTTGGAGAACAGCGTTGAGCACTGTGGGCGGTGGGGCAGAACATCTCCCTCTTGTGCAGACTGGTACCCCGGGGCTCCAAACCCTACCCGTCTCGCAGGTGGCATTGGCAGGGCCCAGCAGCCTGTAGCCGGCATCACAGATGAACCTGACCTGGTCCCCGCAGTTGTGCTCCTGGCCCAGCACTGCCCCAAACTTAAGGACAGGAGGGTCGCACATGCAGGCCTGGCACCGGGGCATGGCGCCTACCCAGGTCCCCCTAGCTGAGCACTGCAGGAAGGGGTTGCCCACGGCCTCGTACCCCGGAAAGCACACGATTTCCACCACATCTCCGAAATTAAAGCTGGACCCATTAAAGAATCCATGGCTGATGTCCTCCGGAGGGTCACATGACACAATAGTGCACTGGGGAGGCGGGGCATCCCATATTCCATTTCCCTGACACAAAAGCACAGGTTTCCCTATTAGGGTATATCCCTCATCGCAAGTGTAATTCACTTTGCCGTTGAACCCAAAGTCAGAGCCAATCAAAAGGCTGTTTGGGCCAACCGGAGGTCTCCCACAAAACGCTGGAAGACATTGGGGACTTGCATGGCTCCAGCTACCATCAGCTAAACAAACACTGTTAGATGCCCCCTGCAGGACAAACCCGGGTTTGCAGCTGAACACCAGCTGTTTATTAAAAGTGTATTCAGTCCCTTCCACCGTGATGTTATCCGATACCAACAGGGGGCCACATGACACGGGGACACACTGGGGGGTCTCACTGCTCCAGCGTCCGTCAGCCTGGCAAGTGCTGCTTTTGCTACCCAGCAGGACAAATCCCGGCAGGCAACTATAGTGGACAACACTGGGATACAAGAAAGAGTCTCCTTGGACAGAACCATCAGCAACTTCTCCTGGGTGTCCACATGAGACTGGACTACAGCTTGGGGCGCTGTCACTCCAACGCCGCCCCGAGACACACTGGCGGATGGTCTGACCCACCAGCTCGTAGCCCTTGTCGCAGGTATACTGGACCAAACCACCCAAAGCCACGTCTGTGATGGTGATAGAACCATGTTTGGGGTTCTCCGGGGGCTCACACTCAGCTGGGAGGCAGACGGGGGCTGTTCCATTCCACGCCCCGTCCTCCTTGCACATGAGCTCGGACACCCCGACCAGCTCGTACCCTGGCTGGCAGCGGTACTCCACCATTGCGCCATGCAGAAAGCTGGTGTCGGTCTGGGGTATGGACCCAGCTAAGCCGTAATCGGCTCCCCCGTGGTTGGCGGCGGAATCCGCAACTTTGACATACTCCCCGAAGTCGATATGCGGGGGCAGGCCACAGTCCATCAGCACACACGAGGGGGTCGGGCTGGTCCAGCCAGACTCCTCACAGGTCAGGTAGTTCTGGCCCTCGAGCTGGAATCCAGGGAAGCAGCTGTAGAAGATGGTGACGCCGAACTTGTGCTCGCGACCTTCCAGGAAACCGTTGGGGATGGGCTCAGGTGGTGTACAGTAGACCTGCATGCACACAGGGATCTCCTTGTCCCACTCACCCGTCTCTAGGCAGTTCAATGTCTCGGGCCCCTCCAGCTGGAAGCCCCTGTTGCATGTGTAGGTGATGGCGTGGCCGAATTGGAGCTGGGAGTACGAGACCATGCCATTGGCAATTTCCTTGGGGGGGCCGCACTCCACGGGCCTGCAGAGAGGTGTGGCCCCCATCCAGTGGCCATCCGGGCCGCACAGCACTGTGGAATTCCCCTCAAGGTTGTACCCAGGTTTACAGCTGTAGATAGCTGGGCTCAGGTACATGAGGCCCTGAACGTCCACGATACCGTTGAGGATTTCTGGTGGCTGCGGGCACTCCACTGGGCTGCATTCTGGCAGCGGCTCACTCCACTGACCATCCGCCAGGCACTGCACTGAGCTCTCCTTCCTCAGACTGAAGCCATCCACGCAGGAGTAAGTCACCACACTCCCGTAGCTTGTGGCTGTGGATAAGGGGTCCCCATAAGACACCTTTGGGGGCGGCCCACAGAAAACCTGCGTGCAAATGGGGAAGGTGTCATTCCACTCCTGTGTCTGAGTGCAGTGAAGGACCTGGGCGCCATACAGGACGTAGCCGTCCTCGCAGGAGAGCTGGATGGTGCGTGAATCGGAGTCGAGGCTCTTCAGGACCAGGTGGTTCTCCTCCAGGGGAGGCTCTGGGCACTGGACCGGCTTGCACTGGGGAGTCTGGCCCTTATCCCACTTGCCATCCTTCAGACAGGTCCAGATCGCATCACCAATCAGCTCATAGCCGTCGTCGCAGTCGTACTTCACCTTGCTGCCCACTTTGAAGATCCCAGCCTCATACCTCCCATGGGGGACATCGGGAGGGTCTTTGCAGGTAAGAAGGACGCAGGATGGCTCCTTAGTCCACTGCTTGTTGGCCTGGCACGTGATGTCCGGATTGCCCCTCAACTCATACCCGGGGTCACAGGTGTATGTCACTCTGCTGTTGAACACGAAGCGGCTTTTAGTCTGTGGACCACAAGACATCGTAATTAAACGACCAGACAGAGGCACTTATCCCCAACGCCTAGTACATCTACCACTGCTTGATGCCTTCCTGAGATACATGGGAAAAAACCTTTTTAATAGTGGTCAAAATATCGATGTAACGGGAAAGGTGGCAAGGTTACACCACTACACATGTGATGTCATCTTAAAGCCGTAACTGTGTAATTTAAGGAACAACAGGACTTAACAGAGTGGCATGTGTAGCATGAGATATGAGGAAAGCCATAATATCTTTTACAGAGGACAAAAATTAAGTGCTGGATCTCAGAAGAATATTCATTCACACTGTCTGAAAAAATGGTTACCTTGATGGAGCCGTTTGTCACTTGAGGGGGGTTAATGCAGGACACGGGCTGACAAGAAGGCAGAGCCCCACCCCACTCGCCATTTGCTTGACAGGTTCTCCTTTTCTCTCCATCGATCATGAAGCCCTTGTCACAGCTGTACGCCACCATGGCCCCAAAGCTGTAGTTGGTGCCGCTTACGTACCCTCGGGGGATGGACTCGGGTTTCGAGCAGCGCACGGGCACGCAGCTGATGTCGGAGGGGGAGGGCACCCATTCCCCTCCCAGCATGCACCTCAGCGTGGCTGTGGTGTTGAGCGTGAAGCCCTCCTCACACTTGTAGCTGACCTCTGTGTTGCTCACATACTTGTTCAGCCTGCTGGTGGAGACCGAGTCCAGGATGGCGTGGGGCAGGTCCGGCGGGCGCTGGCAGAAGTTGGCGATGCAGCTGGGCATCTCGCACCCCTCGGGTGGCACCCACTGGCCCTGGGCATTGCAGAGGACCTTGGAGTTGTTCCCGGCGGTGTAGCCATCTTTGCAGAAGTATATAGCTGTGTCTCCAAAGAGCTGGTGGCCGGACTGCTGGTATAGGGCGTGGTCCACTGGGGGAGGGGGCCCACAGGAGCGGGGCACGCACTGGGCAGAACCCTGGCTCCACCGGCCGGTAGGCAGGCACTCGCGGGTCTGCGGTCCCAGCAGTGTGTATCTGTGGGTTGAGACGGAGGGGCAGATGGCATCAGGCCACCAGAATGGCAGCAGGTGACTGTAAGGTAATATCATAAAGAGCAGAGTTCTTACCCTTCCTTACAGGTGTAATGCACCTGACTCCCCAGGGTGAAATTGCCGCCCATGGCTGTGGCGTCCAGCAGCGTAGGTGGCTCCCCACAGTCCACCTCGGCGCACTGCGGCACCGGCGTGCTCCACTCTCCGGAAGCTTCACAGGACACGTCTGCAGGACCCTGCAGTCTTGAGACCAACTTCCAGTTACACAGAATCACAGCTGCCTGTCTCTCCTCATAGGTCAGACATCCACCATCTCTCCTCACAGGCCAGACATCCACCATCTCTCCTCACAGGCCAGACATCCACCATCTCTCTTCACAGGCCAGACATCCACCATATCTCCTCACAGGCCAGACATCCACATCCACAGAAATCCTGCAGGCCATACAGTTACCCAAGTTTTTATGCCATCCATCCATCCATCAATTTTTACTTAGCTTACCAATTCAAAGCCCTCAGAGAGACTGTCACAGTGACACCAGCTACAACACTTAAGAAAGGATCACTACTGACGGTCCTCTTACCTGTACCCCTCCGCACAGGTGTATGTGACAGTGGACTGATATGTTCTCTTAGTGCCTGTGACATTTCCATGTTTGACATGTGGGGGCTCGTTGCAGGTCATGGGTTCACAGGCAGGGGGCGATCTACTCCATTTCAAGTTGGCCAGGCATTCAATCTCAGCTGGGCCCCGTGAGAGAAACCCTTTCTTGCAGCTGGAAGATGTGTCAAAGTCACAAGGCCAACATCATCAGGAATAATGGCACATGCACGGTACTCAGATGTACTTAAATGCCCTTGAATCCAACAATGTTTTTTGTAGTTAGTTATTAAATTACAAAATTTCACTGGGTTTATTACCTCAGATATCCTCGGTTAGCAAATGAGATTTTTATTATGCATCTAAACAGACTTACAGTCGCTACTCTGATGTGACGGAATTCAACACAGTAACACCTGAGTTTTTATTATTCAGCAAGAATCTGATCTTCAGTAATCAAATAAAACACACTTCCTTAATGCTGCATTTAAAGGCACAGCTTTTCATAAAAGAAGACACCCTGATAACCGTCCTGTTCTTTTTAAAGTCCCAGGACATTGCGACACACTTTCTAGAGATGCCTGACATGATACCTGAAAGTCACCTTGCTTCCGAAAGTGAAGTTGTTCCCCTTGATGATGGAATTATCTGGAACAGGGGGCTTTCTGCAGGACAGGGCTGGGGGAGGGATGGTAATGCAGATATTACTCAGGCAGGCTTGTTCACAACGTGGCACTTTACGTTAGCCCCTCTTTTCTCCCCTTATACCGAAGGTAAACCTCACCCACTCTGGACAGACTATGTATCACCCTTAATGAGATTATTGTACTTGGCACCTAAAGCAGAACCCTTCTGTCGATCTAAGGCAGGGGTGGGCAATCTTATCCGCAAAGGGCCGGTGTGTTTGTGGGTTTTCGCTGCAACTCCCTAATTAGATTACTAATTAGAGGACTGGTTGGCTGAATAGTCCTCACACCTGGGTTTGAACAGCTGACCTACAGGTTATCCCAAAAACCTGCATACTCACTGGCCCTTCGCGGATAAGATTGCCCACCCCTGATCTAAGGTAAGCCCCACTTTCACAGCAATGCTGAGTTTCCCATTGGCCCATTGCATTAGGTCAGTTTGGTTACCTTTGCAGTATGGAAAGATGCCATCCCACTCTCCAGTCTCGGTGCACTGCATGTGGGATGAACCAGTCAGCTCGTAGCCCTCCTCACAGGTAAAGACCACCTCGCTGCCCACAATGAAGTTGCTCCCATCCCGGTGACCAAACTCTGGGTAGCCGGGGTTCCTACATTTGACTGGCTCTGATTTGTTTAAATGGGAAAAAGAGATAGCACATCACACTGCATGTCACTCTCATGATCATCAGGGCAATGTCTTGATAAAAATAAAAATTNATTGCATACAAATAAGTAGACCTTAGAGCCCAGTTATCAATGGAGATTCCTTAGCCCACAGCTATTGACGGCCTAACCCTAACCCTAACCCTAACCTTACTGACGGCCTAACCCTAACCCTAACCCTTAGAGCCCAGTTATCAATGGTGTTTCCTTAGCCCACAGCTATTGATGGCCTAACCCTAACCCTACTGATGGCCTAACCCTAACCATACTGACGGCCTAACGCTAATCATACTGATGGCCTAACCCTAACCCTAACCCTAACCCATACTGACGGCGTAACCCTAACCCTAACCCATACTGACGGCGTAACCCTAACCATGCTGATGGCCTAACCCTAACCTTACTGACGGCCTAACCCTAACCATACTGACGGCCTAATCCTAACCTTACTGACGGCCTAACCCTAACCATACTGACGGCCTAATCCTAACCATACTGACGGCCTAATCCTAACCATGCTGATGGCCTAACACTAACCTTACTGACGGCCTAACCCTAACCATACTGACGGCCTAACCCTAACCATACTGACGGCCTAACCCTAACCTTACTGACGGCCTAATCCTAACCATGCTGATGGCCTAACCCTAACCTTACTGACGGCCTAACCCTAACCTTACTGACGGCCTAACCCTAACCATGCTGATGGCCTAACCCCAACCATACTAACAGTCCAACCCTAACCATACTGATGGCCTAAGCTAACCCTATTGACGGCCTAACCCTAACCATACTAACGGCCTAACCCTAGTGATGGCCTAAGCCTAACCTTACTGACGGCCTAACCCTAGTGATGGCCTAACCCTAACCATACTAACGGCCTAACCCTACTGATGGCCTAAGCTAACCCTATTGACGGCCTAACCCTAACCATACTAACGGCCTAACCCTACTGATGGCCTAAGCCTAACTCTAACCCCAGCCTGCCCTGGCTCTCTGGGTTACCTGTGCAGTTCTTGCCATCGCCACTGTAGGGGGGCACGCAGGTGCAGGTGTATGAGCCGTCCNCTAACCCCAGCCTGCCCTGGCTCTCTGGGTTACCTGTGCAGTTCTTGCCATCGCCACTGTAGGGGGGCACGCAGGTGCAGGTGTATGAGCCGTCCGTATTGTGGCAGCTAGCATGCTTGTCACAGTCGGATCCTAGTGCACACTCGTTTACATCTGCACCGGCCAGAGGTGATGGGATCACAATGGGGGGGGGGTAGGTTTGGGAGAGCCAGTCAAACGTACAATCAGGACAGTGGTAATCGCCGTAGAACCAGCTCAAAGTATGTGAATATCATGCAAACTGCTAAGCCTAAGCATGTGTAGACCATTGTCAGATAGTGTTGCAGTGTAAGCACTAATCTGCTGAGGGTGATTCAGATCAGGTGAGACCTCCCCACCCAGGCATGCTGGTAGGTTGCCAGTCCAGGTCCCATTGTTAGCGCACAGCATTCTGGGGTCCCCCAGCAGGTAGAAACCGGAACTGCAGCGGTAGGTTACGGTGCTGCCGGCATGAAAATCATCCCCGGTGTACAGGCCATGTTCCAGGTATGGTGGGGGCCCACAGTCCACCCCTGTAAAATATCAACAGCGTCAACATCCCATGGGGTTCTCGTGTAAGTGTCGGGGGCAGGAGGCGGTTAATGCTTAGCAAAAACATTCACGGAGTATATATGAAACATTAATCTTGGAAAAAATGGGGAAAACTGAGTCTCTCAATTTGCCTGAAGTGGAACTGCATAAAACCAGCACAAAGTGCTTCGCCGATTGGACAAGATCCATTTGGCTCGCCCCATTGCATTATGGGTTAACAGGTTAATAGCACTCATCCCGTACTGTAAACACTTATGTTGGATTTCTTGGCAATCCCAATCTGCATTCTGTCTAACAGTACTGTAATGGTCTTTATTAATCAGCACACACACACGTCAGTGACGGGTTCTGGATGCCTTCAGTACTGCGGTAGATTTTCTGGTAGTTTTTCTCAAAAATGAGTCACTAAGGTGGTTCCATTCTGAGGTGCTGCTCACCTTCAGGAATGTATATGCCGGTTATCCCCATTCCTAAGACCTCCTCCTTCCCGCGCTACCTAACGGTAGCCATGCTTACTTTCACAGTGTGGCAGAGGGTGATTCCACGCCCCCTTGTTGTGGCACCGCAGCTCCGACTCCCCCACCAGGTAGAAGCCGGGATCGCAGTAGACCTGCAGCTGGGAGCCTGGGATCGCTGTTGGTCTTGAGGCACGAAGGTGAGGGATAGCATTTTCCAGCAGGGGGCAATCTGATGTCAAAATGAACAAAAATATTTTGGGGTTTGCAGTTTTGTCAAATCATCTGATTTTACTCAGCAAATACTAATAAAACCTTCTTAAACTTACATGCTTTAATTGTAAGCATTTAGGATATTTACATACCCCCATATAGTTACAAACACATAAAGGTAATGTGATACATTATGAATGTAGGCATATCTATAGCATGATACAGTATTAGTGAGTATAAGCATATTTATAGCATGATATAGTATCAGTGAGTATAAGCATATCTATCGCATGATACAGTATTAGTGAGTATAAGCATATTTATAGCATGATATAGTATCAGTGAGTATAAGCATATCTATAGCATGATACAGTATTAGTGAGTATAAGCATATTTATAGCATGATATAGTATCAGTGAGTATAAGCATATCTATAGCATGATACAGTATTAGTGAGTATAAGCATATTTATAGCATGATATAGTATCAGTGAGTATAAGCATATCTATAGC